AAGGCCTCTTATTAAGGCTTTGCTTTAGGCTTCGGATGATGTTGAGCCGTCCCTGGGATAGAGAGGCTGTTTTCGGTAGACCCTTAACTAAGACCCTTTCATTAAGAAAAACAAAGAGTAGGAGAGAGAGAGAAAAGAGAAAACTATTGACAAATTCTTATGTTAAGACTTAACGAAATAAGTCTTGAAAAGATGAAACTGTATAGCCGCTTTTAAAATTATAGCCAAATATATATATATATATATATATATATATATATATATATATATATATATATATATATACACACACACACACACACACCACACACACACACACATTCTGTATGTTATATACAAAAATCAATACAAATTTTATATACTTTTTCGACTACCGAATATAAATAATTCCTGACGCGGGCTAAAAGTAATAATATCCCATAAGTCTTTGGTACTTCTATGCTAGTCTCTTTTTTGTATTTTATTAGTACGTAATAATACCTTAAATAGGAATCTCTACTTTCCATTAATTTGGACTTACTTCATACCTTGTTATAACAGTTTATTAATACAGTAATAATAAAAAAAATACAAAAAATAGACTAGTATAAAAGTACCATTGCGCTATTTTTTGGTCCAATTTTAGAAAAGCAAATTCAGATGCAATGCTTCTCTAACCTATCTTTCTTGAAAAGCTCGGCACGCCACGGGTTATAAGTTTCAAAATCCTATTTAATTTTTTGCTATTTTTGGCCCTGCTGTAACCTAGCACATTGTTATAAAAATTAAAATAATGGTTGCAACTTTAACGTACACTGATAATATAAATTAATTAAATTATACCTATAATATGTAAAAGGTGAGTAGAGTTAGTTTTCTGTAACGGATGCGTGAGAGAGGGTCGGTGGGAGATTGCAGCAATCGCGGAAAGTAAGACTGGTTGGGATGTGAGCAAATAGACACATTACTAAAGACTTTCTTCACTCACTTTTAAGACAATTCAAACAAGGAGTATAATTTGCAGCAAATCATGCAGCATTCAACTTAGATGCAAATCCAAAATTTAAAGGTGGCGGTGCACATGAGTGGACTGCACGCGCAACTAGTGCTCCCATCGACTTTTGACCTTAAGGGTTCAAGTAAAATATATGATTGTTTTTAACATATATATCTAGAATATTTGTCGAGGTTAATGGGGTCCAATGACCCCTCTACTCCAGCCATAGGTCCGAACGCGCAAGTAAAGGGCACGCAACTCGGTGCACTAAGCTCCAGCTATGCGCGGGGTCTAGGAAAGGGCCGGATCACAGGGGTCTATTGCATGAGTCTTACCCTGCATGCATTTCTGCAAGAGGATATTTTCACGGCTAGAACCCGTGACCTCATTGTCACATGGCAGCAACTTTACCAGTTACGCCAAGGTTCCCCTTCCAAACGTGCAAGTAAAATCCTAAAATAACTTAGAAACTGTAAATAAACATTAAACTTGAGGAACTCATGAATATACTACGTAAATTAGGATTAGCTGCACGTTTCTCTCAGCTTTTCCAGCAAATATCAACGATTTCTAAAAGGATTTAAATTAAAAATATATTCTAACGGTAAAAAAGTTTATACTATGATCTATGTTGTTTAACTTGTGATATAAGTTATGCCGGTATAAGTTATATTGGGATAAGTTATGCTGGGATTAGTTATGCTGGGATTGTTGTTTATTCATTGTTTGGTATGTTGTATTAAGAATGACAATTGCATAATTTCTAAGAAGAAGGTATAAGTTATACCGGAGCTAATTACCCCACCTTCTATAAGGTACTCCTATAAGTTATCCCAGTGTTAAAATTAACACCGGGATAACTTATACCTGGTTTGCTAACCAAACAGAGTATTAAGGTGGTATTAAATTTTTATACCACTCTTATAACTTCTTATACCTCATACCAAACGACCCCTTAATGTATATACACAAACTTGAACACTTTGAAAAATGAGAAAGACATATGTACCTCCATGGTTATGACTGATTGTACGAGGAGTTGAGTAAATAAAAGAATGAAGTCTGGAGAAGAAGAAAAGTTGATTTTGCCCCACCATTATAATAATTAAGACAAAGAGCATGAGTCCCAAAAACGCCATTGTTGGCTTTGAAGCTCTTTTCTTCACCACATTAATCTTCATTACTGCTCTAGCTAGGAAGGAAAATGGAGGGGGTTTTGCTTTTTATTTTTTGAAGAAGAAGAAGAGGAAGTGGAGATGACAAGAGAGAAAATTGTTCTAATGTGAGCTACATATATATAGTATAATTTCTTTTGTCACATCTGTTAAATAAAATATATAAAAAGAAAATTAAGAAAAGCATATGGTCATACTTTGAATAGTTGAGGTGTACACTTGGAAAAACGAGGTAGAAAAATTGGGACTTTTTTGGTAGAATGGAAGAGAAATTAATGGAGAAACACTAGGAAGAAAATCTGGATATATTGCTTTCAAGTTGTTGACAAAACTCAAATAAATAGTGTCACTACAAGAAACATGGGATACGACGACATTATATAAATGTCGCCATAAATCAATCAAATGTCGTAAATTCATTTACTGACTTTTACTTTATACTTAAATTAAATGTCGGAAATTATCTCAATATCGTTAATTTTACGATATTTAAATTAATGTCGGTAAAACTCTAGTGACATTTATTTGACGTTTATCAAATGTCAACAATTTGAGCTCTTAAACTATCTTGTTAGTGACATACATACAAATGTCAGATAAATCGTTTGCAATTTTTGGCATATTATGTCACGATCCTAAAATTCCTCCGAAAGGAGTCGTGATAACACCTAGTTTCTAAACTAGGTAAGCCTAACATCAACTGAAATAACCTTGACATTTACTAACTTCAAATTAAATAACTCTGAACAAATCACAACTTCCCAAAACCGGTGGTACAAGTCATAAGCCTTTCTAAGGGTAACTATACAAAATAAATACAAACTGTCCCAGAACGAGAAGGAATCAATAGAACGTAAATACAAATGAAGGTTACTCCGAGGCCTGCGAACGCAGCAGCAGGTTACCTTGAGTCTCCACCACGACGATCTGCACAGCTACTATCGATCAATTCATGGATCTGTACACAAAAAATGTACAGAAGTGTAGTATGAGCACACCACGGCAGTGCCCAGTAAGTATCAAGACTAACCTCGGCGGGGTAGTGACGAGGAACAGTCAAGACACCTACTAGTCAGACAGATTAAACAGGATATGATAACAAATATCAAGATAAAGGTGACGGAATAATATCAAGAGCAGTGATAAATCAATCTACAAACAGTCGAATAATAAAAGGAAACTCGGATGGAAACGAAAGATAACCAAATAAATCAACACAAACATAGCTGGAACGCAGAGAAGTAGAATGAACTCAAGTAAGGAAGGCAGTGCCAACTCAATCAATCATATCGTTTCTGGTGCACAACCCCAGCCATCTCAGAACTAGATGTCTCATATCATAACCTCAACTTACAAACCTTTAGCACACCCGGCACCTTGTGCCCACATATTTTGTCTCACTTTATACAACAACGTTCTCATGTTACTCAGTACATAGGACCCATAACTAATGCAATTAAGATGTTCCAGGAGTCTCATTTACATAACATAAAGTAGAGTACAGCTTCTAAACCAATTAGGAACTCAACAAGAAAAGATGAAGTTATTTTTAGAAATCATTTGAATAAAGAAAGTACCATTTTCAATTTAAAATACAACATCGAATGAATTATTACCTTTAACATGAGATTTAATAAATTACAACTTAGTAGAGATTACTTTTTAAGTAAAATACAACCTCAGACGGTTTTAGGGAATTTAGTTGAGAAACTAATTGAATTAAAAAAAATATATAACAATTATTGAAATTTGAAGTATTGAAATACATATATATAAATACGGCGAGGTATTGAAAACATTATGGGTTCCAACACAAATGATCACAGCAGTAAAGGAATCTAAACAGTTAAAACACTTGAATTGACTACAACAAATAAACACAGCAAACAGAAAGTGTACGGCATCACCTTCGTGCTTTAACTCTCACTCCTCACCATGCAATCAATATAAATGTAAATGTGCACGGCATCACCCTTCGTGCTTTATCACTCTTCCTCACCATATGAATAATATAAATGTGAACGGCATCACCCTTCGTGCTTTATCTTTCTTCCTCACCGTATGCATCAATATAAATGTAAATGTGCACGGCATCACCATTCGTGCTTTATCACTCTTCCTCACCATATGAATAATATAAATGTGCACGGCATCACCCTTCGTGCTTTATCACTCTTCGTCACCATATGAATAATATAAATGTGCACAACATCACCCTTCATGCTTTATCTCTCTTCCTCACCATATGCATCAATATAAATGTAAATGTGCACGGCATCACACTTCGTGCTTTATCACTCTTTCCTCACCCAAACAGTAGAAACAACAACATCCCGGCAAGGGAATAAACAATAGAAACAAATACACCCGGCAAGGGAATCAACAATAGAAACAAATACATCCCGGCAAGGGAATCAATAATAGAAACAAATACATCCCGGCAAGGGAATCAACAATAGAAATAAATACATCCCGGCAACGGAATCGGCTATAACCAATCTCGTTGCTACAGTTAGCTTCACAAAATAAATCCCAACTTGAGTCAATACTCAACAATGGTCAAATACCAAGAAAATACCATAAGTCTTGTCCAACATGAATAATCGTCAATTTAAGCATAAATAGTACATAATAAGAATCACAACAGTCACAGTGTAAGACCCACGGAAAAACCAATAAGTGCAATAACCTTAACAAAACAACAAGACATAATAAGCACGTGATAACTACACCGGCAACCACAACAATTTGGACACATAGCATATATACACGGGGTCATAGAGGAATTCACAACTAAGAGATAACGAAACAATAAGGAGAACAATCACTTCAATTAAGGAAAATAAGGGGCAAGTAACAAGTAAGAGTTAGAGGAAAGCTAACAACATCGTATGGAGCATATAGAGGCAAGTTAAGCAATTAGGAAACTCATTCATAACGGAATACTTCCCACATAATGAACATAAAGGCCTAAGAATCCTAAAGGCAAATTTTCCCACAAATAAATCCGAGAACACACTCGTCACCTCGCGTGCACGAACTACAAATAGCATAGAAGACTCAACTCCTAAGGGAAAACTTTATTCCGGAAAACTTTCTTCTTGCTTGGGTAATTCTTTGGTCCAGAAGCCTTCTTTATTCCAGAAAACTTTCCGGGTTTTTCTGCTGGTGCCATAGCATGAGCAGGAGTTGAATGGCTTGACGAGGCAGCCACATTTTTAACAGTAGCACCCGTTCCCGCAACATTTCCATTAGTTTGGTTTTCATTCGTCATTTTTTTTGTAAAGTTGGAAACAAAACAGAACTTGGTTAAATCAGTGAAGTTTTGATATCTTCAAACTGAATACCAAACCAAACATACAACACATAACAATGGTGAAGTTTTTATATACTTCAAACCCGTACGTTTATTATTCCGGTAAAGTTTTTATATACTTTAAACCGGACAGAACAATTATTGGAGTAGAAAGCACGAAGGCTTTAGTCTCCAAAATAGTATACAAAATATGAATAACAGTTTAATATATGTTTCAACACAGAAACGTTAGTATAAAATTCCTTAAGCTTGTGAGCGTTATTGCGCTAAAACACAAAATCAAAAAAAAAAAAAAAAACTGTTAGAAGAACTAAAGAAATCTGGAAAATAGTAGAGAATGAGAAATGTTCCGAATCCACAAGTTTCTTGTGTGTCCTTAAGGAATTTAAACTCCCTCACAAGTTGCCAAGGTAATGGATTAAATCCTCCCAGGATAAAACGGAATAAACCTTCCTGCAACAGTGGCAATACAAACTGCAGGATACCAACGAACTTAAAGAACGGAGCAAAATCACACTTACGAATTTGAGAGAGAGACTGCGAATTAGAATGCAGTATATTCAGAAAAAAAGAAGTTCTGGAGTGTTTTTCGTGTGTAGAAAATGGAGCCTTGCCTCAGAATTTATAGGCAATTATCAGAAGATGTGTCTGGAAAAGGTGCCTTTTCAGAAGAATACGCCGCCTGCCGCGGTTCTACCGCGGTTACGGCAGAACCGCGGTCAAAGAGGCTCTCTGAATCTGCCTGCCGCGGTTCTACCGCGGTTACGGCAGAACCGCGGCATCGATCGATCATTTGACAAACCCAAACCCAAACCCGAAGCCGAGCCGAACGAGCGACGACGACGGCGCGAGGGTTCATTCTCTTCAACTCCTTTTAAGAGCTTTAAGAAGTGATTCTATATATAAGCACACAAATGTGATTGTCCCTCATCAATGAGGGATAAAGTGCAAGACAAAAGTTCACTTCTTCAAATTTTCATTTTTCCCTCCATTTTATTTCCCTCCATTTCCAATTCACACTTCTTCTACTTTAAAGCCCAATGGCTTAAAGTCCAACAGTTATCACATTTTCTAACAAATATCGCTAAATCAACTTTTTTCCGACATTTATTATAAGTGTCACTAATTAAATGTCGTCGTATCACATATTTCTGGTAGTGTGTGTGCAACTTCAACTTCCCAAAGCTCATCACGTTTAAATATATTCTGGCATCATTCACGTGAATATTCATAGTTAGAATTCCATGTGTCTCCACGTGACCTATAGGTCACGGGTTCGAGCAGTAAAATTAACTATTGATGCTTGTATTATAGAGTAAGTTACTTACATTATACCCCGGCCCTTGGAGTGCGGCCCTTAGAGTGTGGCCCTTGGAGTGCGGCCCTTCCATGGACCCAAAGTGAACACGAAATACTTCCTGCACCGACTGCTTTTCTTTTTCTTGTTTCTTTAATTGTTTCTTCTAGTTTCTCGATTTTTCAACAAGAATGTAGATAATTTTCTCAACTTCATAATTTATTCTCTTATAATTTAGAGGTTCATCATTTCAAGATTTCGATAACTCTATGTTTTGTTAGTTAAAAAATGATCAACACATTAGTTTCTTTTTCCAAAAAAAAAAAAAAAAAAAAACTTTTATCTGTCACATAACATGATCATCTTTCGGATCATCTAATGGGACTTGAGTAATGATCCTTTCAGTTTTATGTAAAAGTCACACCAGTTAAAAGTGGAGTGACTTCTAACATATAATACTAATAGTATGTCTCGCCAAACTTCTAGACATGCCAAAGGTGTTTTTTTTTATAAAAAAAAGTGGTTTTTCCTAATTTGAGGTGTTTGGTCAAGCTTTTTTTTGAAAAAAAAAAATGCTTTTGGCTAGAAGCAGAAAAAAGTAGCTTTTCTTCAGAAACAGAAGAAGTTTTGACTTTTCTTCCTACCAAAAATACGCTTTGCAAAATATTATATGTACGAAAAGAACCTTACTTTGTTTAAACTATTAAGTGCTATAAAATGACTTTTGAGATGAACTTTCATATTTATTGAATGATTTTTGATATATTTAAATTATCTTGAAAGTATAAAGTACTTTTCAATATTATTTTTATATTTTAGTTAAATAAAATAAAAAACATAATTATTATCTTTAATAATAAATATTTATAATTATTTATTAACTTATATAATATTAATTATTAAGAAAATCTCTTCATGTCCTTATTTGTAACTTGACACTTAAAAGCACTTTTTGAAAAGTTTGGCCATACACAAATTATTGTCAAGTGCTTTTCAAATTGATTAGCCAAACACAAACTGTTTTTCTCCAAAATTACTTTTCGAAAAAATACTTTTGAAAAAAGTACTTCTAAAAAAAAGCTGATTTTTCCAGCTTGGTGTCTCACTTACCAACTAAATCATAAAGTTAATAAGGCTCCAATGTGGATTGATTGATTCTATTGTCAACTTAACATAGTTAAATATCCTTAGTATAGAATAGGAATCTTTACCCAAATACCATGTCGGATTCACTATCTATTTTTTCAAGCCGATATATATAACTTATATAGTAATTTTACATGGTTATACGTACACACACACACACACACACATATATATATATATATATAATGACTAAAAGATCTAAGTTACGACTTCCCATAAAACAAAAAGAAAAAAAGAGATATATCAAAAATGCATCTTGAATTATAAAGATGGTAACTTTTTGCCAAGATTTAGTGATGATAAAAAAGGGGTCACCTAAAAAAAATGTAGATGTGAAATGCAGCTATTTGGCTTCAGTATTGGTGAATGGTAACGGGATGAAGAAGACCGTAGGAAAGATTTATATGAGATGACCACTTTTGGACCCTAAAGCAGTGACACTCTAAATTACTAAACTACCCTTTTCGTAATTTTCTTTTTAATAGTAGTAGCATTTTTTGTTCCTTAGTTATCATAAATTTTAATTTTGGTCCTTGTAGTTATGACATATGACCAAGCATATTTAACAAGAATTTCTTCAGTTCATGGCTTTTTACCACATCATCAAATGCATTTATATTCTTTGGCTAAGCATATTTATAAAAGAGTTAATGTCTGCTCTGTTGTATTGGTTCGTGCTTAATGGTTCTGTGGTTGAATTATCATAGCAATGGAAGAACCATAATATAGTATCTTGTTGTTTGTTTTATGCTAATTGTTAAATGTTGAAAAGTTCTGGGCTTTATATTTTCCTCCCTCGTATCTAAGATTTTTTTTCTGGTAGGTTTCTTTTTTCAGGTGTGATAGTTTGTTGTGTTAATTGTTTATTTTGATTTGAGGATACATAAATATCAAACAGTTGCCAGCTTATTGAACTTATACTTTTTGTTTGTCTGAAGGGAGCCTTGAATCAACGGTAAAGTTGTCTTCGTGTGTCCTATAGGTCATGAATTCGAGTCATAGAATCAGCCACCGCCTGCTTTTATAAATATGAATTCGAGTCATAGAATCAGCCACCACCTCTGAAAATTACATGTGGGAAGGTTTTCATTCGGGACATCACTTAACCTCTGAAGTTCAACTTAGATAACATAATTTTTTGGTAAATTCAAGAACAAAAGTAATTCATGGTCTACAAAAATGCTGCAGAATTTTAATGCTAGGGAGATGTATTCTTCATTTTGTGTACAGTGTTCTCTAAAATGGAGAATTTTATTTACTATACTGAAACAAGCATACAAAATTTCAACTCCCTATGACTAGTGATAAAAGCATTTCTAGTCACTTAGTTGATCTCTGCAGTAGGCTTGTAGCTGAGGCTGATATAAACCTGCTTCAACTTTTAATAAAACCTTTAGCTCTCCGATATGATATCTTTCTTCTACTGCTGCCTCTGGAAAATGTGTGAAGCGAAATCAAGTCTGTAATTTTGCTAAGCCGTTTAAACTTTTTGATCTCATGGAATACTCCTTTATCAGTTTTGAGAAGAAAGAATCCTCTCTTTCCAATAGCTTTGCTGGTGAGTCATATTCAGCTATTCTTCCTGTTCAGGGACAAGCAAAGGAATTCACACAGTTAGGATCGACAAATTGGCAGTTCATTTAATTCAAGAGGATATAAAGACTTTAAAATGTATAAAAAAAGCTTACCTTCATTCAAGACTAAGACAAGATCACTATTAATGACTGTATGGATCCTGTGAGCTACTGTGATAACTGTTCGATTTCTGAACTCTTGACTGATGATCTTTTGTAACACTGCATCAGTTGCAGCATCAACTGATGCTGTTGCTTCATCTAGAACGAGAATGCTACTTTTCTTTAGCAAGGCTCGTCCGAGACAGAAAAGCTGCCTTTGACCCACACTCCAGTTTTCTCCGTTTTCAACCACTGTGAAAATGACCATATTAGTAGCTTTCAATAAGGAAATATGCCATAGCTTTCATCAGAAAAGCCTGTGACTTAACTTACTACTCCTAGCGGTGTTTGAAACTTGTGTGACTGTAAATCAATTCATTAACGGTAAAGTAGGAATTCTAAAGATAAATTGTTTCTAAACAAGGAAAGGTGACATTCTTTTTTGTACTGACTAAAAAGGAAATAAGAAATTTATAGGCTGACCTGTAGATTCTAGCTTTTCTGGCTTTGCACGTATTATATCACCAAGTTGGCATTTGTCCAGAGCCTGAGAAAAGAAGATCATTGTACATTATTCATATCCAAATCACTAATACTTAAGTTGATTTCAACTTTTTCTTTGACTGGATGATGGAAATTGGTTAAAGTTTACATTTCAATAATTTAGACTTTGCAAAACAAGAACAAGAACAAGATCAATCAGAGGAATTAACAAGATATCTTTTCTTTGGACTTGTTGCCATGCAAAGATGTTGATTTATATGATGATATGTGAATTTAAGTGGACACACTTTTACATAATTATTATGTTAGAAATAAATCCCAAAAATCGGAGTATTAACATCTTGCCTCAATATGGATTGTGTATAATTGTTTGTGTAATGCTAAGTGCAATAAGTACCTCCCAGATTTCAGTATCAGAGTGCTGTACTAGAGGATCTAGGTTTCCTCTAACTGTTCCATCGAACATTGTTGGTTCTTGAGGAATAATACTAAGCCTTGACCTCAAATCATGAAGACCTATCTTGCAAATATCTATATTGTCAATGATAATGCTTCCTTCTTTGGGTTCTACGATCCGGAAAAGGGCTTGAGTGAGGGTTGATTTACCACTTCCTGTCCTTCCCACAACACCAACTTTCTTACTTCCCGGAAATGTGCATGTAATGTTTTTCAAAACAGAAGGGAGGTGTTCAGCATAACGTATCTGCAGATAGAGGTATTGCAATGATATCAGATGGTGCAAATTTTAAGCCGATCATGCTAAACAAAAAAAAAAAAAAAGAAGTAAAGATATCGTGCATCGAAGCAAATCTCATAACTGAGTCTAGTTTTATCTAAAGGCATGTCACTGTTGTCATTACCTGTAAACTTTGGAAGGAAATTGTTCCAGTTTCTGGCCAGGTGCTTGATAGTCTGCAATTTTCAATCACGAGGAGTGCTTCACTCGCAAGGTCTGAATACTGGAGAATCCTTTCAACTGATATCATTTTGTTTTCAGCACCACAAATATTCCATATTACTGCAGCTTGTGAATAGTTCAAATAGATGCCATATGTTACTGCTAATCCTGCAATGCCTGTAGAAAATAAAGCAACATCAGTTTTCTCCTCTGGTAAATGAAATGCTTTTGACATCTTGGTTTCCTACTTGTGCTCTAAATAAAATAAAGAAAAGCGTAAGTGATTTCTCATTCTTACTTGGATTTATAATTCCTTCGGGGAGTGTGACTAGCAGAACAAGGAAGAAGGCAAAAACAAAAGTAGATAGCTGATTCAGTCTAAAAGATAGCCATTCTTGTGCTGATATATTGTGGAACCATGGCCTCGAATGACCATCTATGAGACTTAGGTTTGCATGAGCAAAGCGATCTTTTTGGTTGAAAGCGCGAATTGTTGCTGCTCCTGCCAGTGATTCTGCAAAGTGATGGAGGATCGGAGCTCTTTGAACTCCAGATAAACGAGCAAGTTCCCTTGCAGTTGGTATGTAGTATTGCTGGCATTTTTAACAATAATATATCTTAAAAGGAAATCTTTGGAAACTTAAGAAACACAAAAAGTGTGTTGATCCTCGATTTTTAGATAAATTTTGCTAGTATTCACTTAATCATGTAAAGAAAAACTTTTAGAAAACTGACTAAATTAGAGCAGCGAGCTTGTTTAATCACTGTGTCAGCCTCCCCTAACTTGACCACTAGAGTACTTTTCCCAAAACAAGCTGGCAACTTCTTGTTTAATAAGTATATGAAATCTAATCATGTACAGCTTACTTACCTGGTACCAGACATAAACTGCTGTTATTGGAATAAAGAGGACAAATACTTCCCATGCAACCTGCGACATGACAGCAATTGTCCCAAGAAGCTGAATAATGGAGAGAGCACACCAACCCAACTTGAGTGCAATTTCCAAGTCCACAACACTTTGATCTGTGGATGCCTGTTCATGTTATAACATGTTTTTCAGTGATTGATCGAATATAATTGCTTTAAAACTGAATTTCAGCCTTAAGTTCTCTAGGTTATGGCTAGATTTTAGACATTTTACTGTGTTTTTGTCAAGCTATTATCTTGATTTATCTTATTCTGATGTTTTCTGCATATTAACTTGTGAGTTACAGTTGGTTGAGAGGATTAATTCAGATATTCGTGTCTATGAAGGATAACCAAAACTACCCGACTATTAGTACTTATGCTGTATGAATACTTAGCTAAATCAACATATCTCATTCAGATTAAGGGAGGTACACTAGAGCTGATCAATCTGCTGTCCCAACGTATCAGCCAATTTTGAGTTACTTACGCGGTTTAAGATTCGTCCAGTAGGAGTAGAGTCAAAGAATGACATAGGAGCACGAAGGATGCTGTGCAGCATGTTGCTAAAGAGCTTTTCTGCTGTTTGAAGGCCTATTATAGCAACAAATGATGCCCGCACTAGCACGCAAAGGGAACTTCCAACAGCGAGAAGCACAAAAACAAAAAGTATGAAGTTCATCTTCTCAGCTATTGGTGCTGCATCATCACCTGTGGGACATGCCGATGCCATCCAGTAGTTGCTGGCTATCTGAAGCACTTGAAATGATGATTGCGCTATAAGAATTATTGGAACAAAGGAACCACCTTTTACGGTGGTCAAGTAAGAATAGTAAACTTCCTTTCCAATGCTTCCTTTTACTCTCTCCTCATCCTGCACAAGTCTTCCATCTTTTTCTGTTATCTCTACACAGAGACTGTGTTCTGAATCCTGCTTAGTTTCTGTATTTATGTTACTATCTGTATCCATATCACTACCAGTAATTGCTTCTTCAGATACTCTACTTGAGCTTTCAACTGTTAAAATTGATTCTAAAGCCTGGTTGTGTGCTCCAACTAGAACTTCAAATCCAATATTTTGTTTCAGTAGTTCCTCAAAAGTTCCAGCTTGTGCAATTCTTCCATTTTGCATCACCTGTTGATATTAAGGAGTTAGATTCTGGAATAAAAATTTTGCAACTCAGAGTCTTGAATGTTGGCCAAAATTCTATAAATCTTAAGAAGCATGTAGTATTTTCCGTAAAAGTCTCCCTATTATTGTTTATCTCGAATAGGCAACCTCCAAATATTTAGAAATGTCTAAAAAAATCCAGCTTGTTTGGAACTGCGCAACATGTATACACTTGATGTGTTCATGTAGACATTTGTATATACTAAAAGCTCGCAAAATTCTTCTGCCTGAATCATCAACAGAATCACTGTATAGGCAGATCATTGTTTTGTGAGGGTGATGCTTTCTATTAGTTAAGTGACATTAATTGAGTGCATCGATGGAAAACTTTGAAACTTATGCCGCTTTCCTGCATACCAGAATGAGATCTGCTGCAGGAAGAAACTCAACTTGGTGTGTAACATAAAGTATGGTCTTGTCCTTGAGAACCCCCCTCAAGCACTCCTGCACCACATGGAAAATGTAAAAATTATAGTACTACTTAAGTACCATAATATTACCTTCACACTACATGGTTAGTGAGGTTTTTGAAAATCCAATCCAGAATTGTTCTTTGATAGACATGCTTAACTACACACCTGAAAGAGGTGCGTGCCTGTGTGAGCATCAACGGCACTGAAAGGGTCATCAAGAAGATATATATCAGCATCTTGGTAAGCTGCACGAGCGATTTGTATTCTTTGCTTCTGACCTCCGCTCATATTTATCCCTCTTTCTCCAATTTCTGTAAGATCACCGGCAGGGAATAGTTCAAAATCTTTTTTCAGCGCGCATGCTTCAACTGTTCTGTCATACTTGACACTCTCATAAGGTTTTCCAAATAGAATATTCTCCTTGATATTTCCACTAAGTATCCAAGGAGACTGAGGAACATATGCCACTTCACCACTGATCTTCACGTTCCCTGACAATTTTGGCATCTCTCCTAGTACACAAGAGAGCAAGCTTGACTTCCCTGATCCAACAGTGCCACAAATTGCCACCTTCATTCCCCTCTTAGCTTGTAATTCTATTCCATCAAGGGTTGGGGGAGTTCCTGATTCTGTGTCCCAGCTGAATCTCCCACTCTTTATCTCAACCCCATATTGCGTTTCAGCTTTAGGAACAAATTCAACTGCATCGGGTTGAATCTCATCTTCCTGCAGGTAGGAAGCAACTCTATCAGCAGAAACTTTTCCTCGTGCTATGACATTTAGCAAATCTGGCAAATTGAATATAGGATCTTGAAGCATCCGAAATGTGGCCAATGCAGATAAGACTCGGCCTGCAGTCAGTGGAATGCCCATCATAACACATCCGGAAAAAGTTGCCACAGAAATAAATGCAGGTGATCCCCAGAAGAAAAAATCGGATAGGGCTGACAATCTTAGTGATTTCCATAGCCAATTATGTTCCACCTTTCTTAAGATTTCCAGCTTCTGGAGATAATAACTATCCCATGCCTGAAGTTTAATAGTCTTCATATTTCGCAGAATCTCTGAAGTAGATTTCATTCTTTCATCCTTGGATTCCATTATCTTAGTTTGATATCCCTTTTGGATCCTTGTCAGGGGCACGTTGGCGGTCATCACTATCAGGGTTGCCCCTAACGCCACAAGTGCCCCGTTCCCTAGATTCATGTGTAAAACATAGATTGCCAATGATATCTGGATCGGTAACATCCATATTGAGTTAAGGTGCCATATAAAATCTGTAATCCTTTCGACATCTACACTCATGTAGTTGATTATCTCTCCACTGGTGTAGCTTTGGTGTGATTGACTTGATAAAGCTAGGCCCTTTTGGTAAATGTGAGATATCAGAGCAGCTCTGAGCCGAAGGCTTAGTTGCCGAGCTCCAAACATCCACTGCCTTTGTGTTGTTGTCTCAACCATTTTTGCACAACAAAAAGCTAGTGCTAAAAGATAGCCACTTTGTAACCCTCGAAGTTTCTTTTCATTGAGGAAATTTACAAAGTCATCCATAAGGTATGGACCAACATAAGATGATCCTGCACTAATAACTGCAAAGAGCGCGTTGATTGCTGCTTTCTTCCTTGCAAATACATAAATTGCCTTATAGATAGATGGATTTGTGGCTCCATCCTTTTCCTTTACGTACTTCAGTCTTTCATCAAAGGAATCAGATAGAAATTTTGCAGAGTCCCTGAAGTCAATATCAGGGACTTCATCTTGGTCAAGGGGCTTCTTGATTCCAACTTCAAATAGTGGATTGAGCCAAGAGAAGGTGATCAGTTGGAGAAGACTAGCTTTTCCATATGGACTGTCCCTTTTGTCTGCTGGATGCTTTTCATTCTTCCCATTTAAAAGTGGTTCGGTTGTACTGTCCGAGATGTCAAGAATTATGCCTGTCTTCCCTCTGATTGAGATACCAAGAAGACAGGCAGATGCAATAAGACCAATGATGTCCACATAGTCTGCAAGTCCTAGATGTTCGTCACTTGTGATGACAAAATGGGCATCTATAGTCGCACGAGCAATAGACAGAAAGAAGCTGGAAATCCACCAGATTCTAAGGACCCAAGGAAACTTGATGTATTTCCTACTCCGAGTTCTGTAAAGCACGAAAAATGAGACCGCCCATGATGTTGATTGCAGAATCTCAGAGGAAAGAACTGGAAATCTGAATTGGCAGTGAGCACCATTTCTCTTTTGCAATATCAAGAGCATTATGAGATGAGTGCACGATAATATAGTCGTGCAAATGATGCTCAATATGTAGGAGTAGGACGCACGGACTTCTGTTCCAACAGTGTACTTCTGATCAACTGTCATAACCTTCTTTTTGCATTTGCATAGCAGTGAATCCAGCAGTAAGATTCCGAGGAATCCAAGAAAGACAATGATGCTGGCATCCTCCCACAAGCAGCGCGACATTGGCTGCAGCCACGCAGTCTTCAATTCGAGGAAATTTGTACCTGCCATTGATCAAAAGAAGAAGCACCATCTCATCAATATAAAAGCAGACTAAACTATTATCCAACTAGCTAGCATCCATTTTTTCTGCAGTCCATGTTAAATTGTTCATCAAACTTCTATCCTCATCACTTGATTTTTATTCAGTTAAATGCACTTCATCACTTGACATAAAGCCTAAACAGAACAGATAAAGTTGTCGCCATGTGACCAGGAGGTCACAGGTTCGAGCTATGAAAATAGACTCTTGCATGCAGAAATGCAGGGTAAGGCTACAATAGACCCTTGTGATCCGGCCTTTCCCCGGACCCCGCGCATAGCGGGACTTAGTGCACTGGGCTGCCCTATTACTGCTTTTATTTAGGCTTTGACTTGCAGTTTCTTGATTTTTTTTTTCTTTTCTTATCTCAGGTAGAAAAATAACTGCTAATTAATGCTCATCAGTTCATGAATCTTTACCACTTTGTTTTCTCATGAAGAAGGAACAGTTAACTGATTCTTGATTCTAACATGCTTTAATTCTCCAGGTTCTTCAATAGAATCACTTAACTTTAACCTTTTTCAGCTGATACTTATCAAATTAGCTTGCAAATATATAATTATACATCTCAAAAAATGGCAATAATATGGAGATTTTGGCATGTTAATAGACTGACATGCATGCAGTCTAAAACTAATGAGTTCGATTTGGAACTTGTAAAGTCTATATATGCAACAGACCAAACAACAGAAGTCTCAAAGCAAGAAAATAAGGAAAAAGGGCCTAATTTACTTGCTGTATTAAGGAGCTTGGAGATGGATTCTAACACCATAGTTTCCTTCTCCAGTCTCTCTTTACTTGTTAGAAAAGAGAGAAATGAAAAAAAGCTTGTGGAAGTCTGGGATCCAATGCTATATTTATAAAAGAAAACAAGCCTTGAGTTAAAACTTCTAACTAATTTGTATTAGGATATTATAAACTAATTTTGCCGAAGTTCCTAGTGCCGGTGACCCCTCTGCCTACCATGTAGGTCAGCCTTTGAATTGGTGCATATAAACAATGTTAAGGGTGAGATAATATTCAAGTGCCTATAATATAATTGAATTGAAACAAGGCTAAAAGTTGAGGGGTTGGCTAGGAGGGAATAATAATATATGGTTTAAAGTAAAGTAGATTAAAGTGTACGACCTAATTATCCCACTATAGTCTCTATATATATTTGCTGACAAAAAAAGTAAAACAAGACAGTCACAGAGACTCGTGTCTGTATATTTTTATCAGAATAAGGAAGCAGTTTCAGAAATTTCTATGTTCTACCAACTTTTGGTTTGTCCTTTTGTGTAAAAAGAAAAAGAAAGGATGCTAATACACTGAGTAATGGACCGTACATAATACTTGCTCTACAAGTCTAATTATTGGTTATAAATCTTTTTTAAAGTTATATCACTATTTAATAGAACAGATTATTATTAATTAAATTGCTACATTATCTTTCCTTGTCCTCCAAGTATTTCTAGAAAAAGAGGTATACAAGTTAGTTATCAAATTTTCTTGCCTTTTAGATCCCTCTTAAGACCTATAATTAGGGATGGCAAATGGGCGAGCTGGGCGGCTCTGGGCCAAAATTGCCAGCTCTACCTATAACCTTGACAGGCGGAGGGGGCACAAAAGAATTCCCTTCGCCGAAAAATTATTGTACCCTCCGTTCACTTTTACTTGTCTACTATTAACTTTGCACGCCCCTATAAATAAAGTGTATAATTTACCAAGATACCCGTATTAATTGATGTATACTTTTAATGGATTTGAAAAATAATTTGGAATGAGTTATCAATGCTAAGTGCAAAATAGGAAAAATAATTTCTTTTTCTTGATATGCGAAAATAAAAAATAAAAATAATAATTTATTTTTGGTATACTTGACAACCAAAATTGAACGGAGAGAGAGCGTATATAAAGTTAAAATTAATTTAATTCCCTCGATTCCCATGTGTGTTTACTTGTACTATATTTTAAATTTCCTTATTAAAAATGTTAGCTCTGACACTGGTCTGACCAAAGGTGTTGTAGACTTGGATGGGAGTAAGCGGGGAGAAATTCAAAAATAGCCAGATTTACTACTTGTCGTTGAAAAATAGCCAAGTTTCAAAAGTCATCGAAATTTAGCCACTTTAAATCTGAGCAAATATACTGTTCAAAATCCGGAAAAATACGCCCGCAAATTTTACGGGAGTTCAAGCATAATTATGCTGGAACTCCCGCAAATTTTACGGGAGTTCCAGCAAGTATAATTGTCCAGTATAATATACTGGAGTTTGGAGCACTGGTGCTCCAGTCTCCCGCAATTTTTACAGGAGTTAGCAAAGTATACCGGTCCAGCATAATATGCTGGAGTTCGTACACAAATGCACCAAAACTCCCGTATATTATACTGGACCGGTCCCTATTGCAGCAAAATAGTGGCTATTTTTCATTGACTTGATAAACGCTGGCTATTTTTCATTGACCAGTGTGAAAACTGGCTATACCATGATATTTTACCGAGTAAGCTTGCAATAATGTAGCAGCTGCCTTTATTTTATTTATTATATGAACAAAAGAGAAGCCTTCAAACATTTTCTACCAACTATGACTTCAAAGTTAATTTTTTTTTTTTTTTCTAGTCTCATAACTTGGCATGCAAGAATCATTTACTTCATCTTTGATGTGAGCTAACAATAATACTCCCTCCGTTCCAATTTACGTGAACATGTTTGACTGGGTACGAAATTTAAAAAAAAAAAAGATAACTTTTGAAATTTGTAGTCTTAAACAAGTCACAAAAGGGTCCAGAGTATTGAAAGTTTAAGCTAAACTGTTTTCAAATTTAGAAAGGGGTCATTCTTTTTTGAACGGACCAAAAAGAAAATAGGTTCACATAAAGTGAAACGGAGGAGTATTAATGTACACAGCATATGACTTTACATGCCATCTAAATTGTCTTCACATCAGACATTGGGTCTCTTAAGTTATTATTATATATTCCAAACTTTTATTGTTCTCCTTCTGAAGAATGGTGAAAAAGGGTAGGGCGAGCCACTATATGTCTGATATAATTTTTGAACTTTTCATAAATATGTAAAATGCAATTTGCATGCATTCTATAAGTTAATTGAGGTAATTTTGGGAGATGTCGTTTGTATTTAGTAACTTCAAAATTGTATTGCTGGAAAACTTATAGCGCATACGAGGGCCCTATAAAGCATTTGATGAATGCGATTCGATAACTCCTTGTAAATGAATTCGGTTTTGTTATATAATAGCCTGTTTGGCCAAGCTTCTTTTTGGCCAAAAGTGCTTTTTTTTTGCCAAAAAATGAGGTGTTTGGCCAAGCTTTTGGAAGGAAAAAAAGTGCTTTTGAGGAGAAGCAGAAGCAGTTTTGGAGACGCAGAAAAAAGTAGCTTCTCTCCAAAATCACTTTTTTGAGAAGCACTTTTGAGAAAAATACACTTAGAAGCAATTTTTTAAAGCTTGGCCAAACACTAATTGCTGCTCAGAAGTACTTTTCAAACTAATTAGCCAAACACAAACTGTTTCTCACCAAAAGTACTTTTGAAAAAAGCACTTTTGAAAAAAGCACTTCTCTGATTTTTGCAGCTTGGCCAAATGAGCCATAAATCCCCTGCTTCGGAAGAAGGCAAATTTGAAGAATGTTCTACGCCGGCATCATTGCCAACGCCTCGCCGTGGCAACCACATCCGGTGATCGGTAGCCATATATGCCAAACCCCTATACTATATCGCTAGCCATATATTGAAGATTTCTGGAGCACTCATAACTGTATCGAATCCAAACCCCTATATCGCTCGCTAGCCATATGTGACAAATACACATAGGGATGACAACGAGACGGGGTGAGGTAGGTGCGGGGCGGGTTTGGCAAAACCCACAAAAATTTCAATCCACCCCGCCCCGCTTAATTTTCTTTTTTTAAAACAAACTAGTTTAAAAAGAAAGGTCAGACATTAATTATATTTTAACTGTGGATTCTACATTAGAAAGTCGAATGCTCAGAAAAGTATAGTACACTGAACTTCCCACTGATGAGAAGCATCTTCCGCACGTGACGATTAAGCATTAGATAGAAATTTATTCTAGTTTTCCAAGTAGGTAAGCCAAGGCAAAACATGTAACAAAATATCATTGAAAGAACTGAAATATGCAGTTTAAAGTTGAAAAAAGTTAATGTAAAAGAAAAACAGTTCAAGTTGCCTCATACAAAAGATTCAAATAAGTATCGCGTTATTTTAGTCTTAGTTTATAGCCTAACAACAAACAACATAGCTCAGTAGTCATATTGCTAAATGGATACAACTTTTATAAAGTCTCCAACTTTCATTTAGTACAAATTAGAATATATGCTTACAAAATCCAGGTTCCCTTTTCTTACAACCCCGGTGAAAAGATAAAATTCAAAGTTGCCCCGCATTTGAACCCGCAACCCGCCCCGTCCGCTTTAAAAATTTTAAAAATTACTTTAACCTGTCCCGCCCCGCCCCCGCATAAGATTAAACCCGCCCCGCCCCGCATCAAACAAAACACATCCCGCCCCGTACCCGCCCCGTCCTATTGCCATCCCTAACTACACACAGCTCATTCCAAGTTATTATGTGATTTGTTTGGACTTGCATTGACTATTTGCTTTCTTCCAACTTGTAAGGGTGTTTGAATTTAATTACTTGAGGATGTTCTAACAAAAGTGCCAAAAAAGAAAAAGACTCGACATATAATTAGGAAGAGGAGAAAGATCTGACATTGCCATGGCAATGAAAGCTGCAGCACTTCACAAATCACAAGGAGGTCACAATACTTCTCTCGAAGATTACTTAAATGCTGAGAAGCAGGAAAATAAACAAATACTAAGAAGATGGTTTTTCTATGCAAGCTTTGATGGATTTCACTATTTTTGTATTTATTGTCAACTTCTTTTATATTAAAACCTATGCACGAACAACAACAACATACCCAGTGCATCCCCACAAGTGGGGTCTGGTATCATGGGTGGTGTCAATTCCAGCAAAAGATAAGGGATGCTACTAATGCCCATAGATATCCTTTAGGAAATTGTGGCTACTACATCATGAGATGGCTCTAATAGTAGCTGCCCGACACACCTGAAATAGTATTAAGACAATGATTTTCTTAATATTTTAAAATAAATTTTACATATGTATAAATTACATACATGTCTACAACATAGCAGCTTTTACATTATAGTCAAATATCGTTTGACTTCTCATGGTTAATGTAACTTTTCTGATGTAGCTGTTGATCTGCAATCCTGCAAAACAGTGATGTTCTTGACGTGGGCCTTTTTTCAGTTGGACACGTTTTGATCATCAATTCAATCTCTTCTTTTTCTTTCAAGAATTCGTTGAGAATATACAGAAGTAGACTTGAAAGTCACGTCTTTAATCCGGTGTCCATTCTTAATTCTATGTTTCTTGTATTGCTCTTTTGACAATGTATCCCAAAGATCACAATAATGAGTTGAACCATAATACCATGTTACTATTTCAGTCTTCTTTTCTTTTGAACAATAGGCTAACTAATAGTATCAGTTAGAGACGAGTTACAATTCAAACTAGATCTCTTGGGTAATGAATAGATACGGTTTTGCTGTGCTGTGTACCTTGGCTTGTTATTCAACAGTATAACATGACATATATACTCGTGTCAACCAAGGTGTATGTAGATCTATTCAAATTTTTAATGAAGTTGATTGGAAAAACACACATGTTCGAAACTCCAGGGAGTGTGAGCCTGCTCCGTAGTAGAGCTGGAACGCCTGGCTTGCTGTGATGTGTACCATTAACAACTGCAGAAATAGAATGCTTTCATAGCCTAAAGAAGAAAGGAAATATTGAGCTGATGGAGCTCTACTATCAGTGCTTACAAGTCAATGTTCATGAAAATGTACCGGAGAAGGTAAAAATGGTGGAACCAATAGCTGGCAAATTTTACAACATACAAAGGAGTAATCATGCCGGAATTAACCACCTCAGGTGAGTCAACTGCCACAAATGCTATTCCCTAGCACTGACCACCAGGCGCACATAAAAAGATCACCATGCTTAACAAACAAAGTTGAGGGGATACATACTATGATAGAAATTAGAATCGCTGCCAGAAGGTGGAGGCAAAGCTTCTGAGAGAGAGCACAAGGACGACAAGAGCTCTTCTTGACCATGCACAATAAAAATTCAGTGTACTTTTTGTCATTCGCCAGGCAAAATCAGCTGAGGGAGAGTCAGGAAGAAGATGTGATTTACGTCCTAGCTACAATCAGAGTCACATGTGAAGTTGGCCTGAACCGTCTTTGTGTTTCAAAGAGATGTTTGCAAATTGTTGATCAAGATCCCTACTAGTGGTGCGCCGATGGCTGGAAGATGATTGCTGTTGCTGCTGTGACTGTGGCAGTTGCTGCTGCTGATATAATGCTCGTAGTCTTCCTCTTTCTCTTTCGAGTACTTCATGCTCCACTGCACAGAATAAAATTAACTTTCTACCATAGTAATTAGCAGCTTTCTAGTTGCCACTACCCCCAAAGCAAAACAGGTTTTCCTATTAGAAGTGCATAACTAATTCAACTACGGAAGTCCCTCAGCCATAATCAACATGACAATTAAGCTCTGAAAAGTTTTAAGTTTAATTAGTTGAGTTTCTTTTTCTTTTTCTGATATTGGAGAAATCGCCTCTGGGTCCACTTAGAGACCCCAGCATCACTTCGTGAGTTATCCTGTAACTCGGGGGAGTATGGGCCCGCCCCTCAACCCTCCTCCCAACTCAAAATACTCGAGTTTCTTATGGTCACAGATTGCAGTATCCCCTTATGTTCTTTAGTAAAGGTAGATTTTGCACTTTCCTAGATGCACAGATACTTTCTTACATCAACTAACTTCTAATAACCAACAATTAACCCCGTTAATCAATAATGATAAAAGCATGGTAAGCACATTTCATTTTTGCTCTCTTTGTTTTACGAAGGTAAACATTTTAATGTTGAAGGCATGAAGCACAATAGATGGACGCCTCTTATGTCTGAACAACATCTAAAAGCCAATGATATTTTTGCAGTGGAGAAAAATGTTTGCTTAGTTCTTTAAAAAACTTTGACCTAGTTACGTTATCCATTTGAAAAGCAGATAGCTTTGGTCATCTCCCAAGAAGCACCAAAGTTTGGGTTGATTCAAATCCATTATCTCCTTTATTTTTTATTACTTATTAATTCCAATATTATTTTCCACAGTTAAAAGCACCTTTGTAACGAAGATATGTTTATTCTTTCCAAAGAGATAGACTCCTAAAAAGCTAAACAAAATATGTAAATTCACAGAAAAAGTTGGCAATTTCCAGGATAATCATTTTTTCCACAAAAAAAAGGTATGTTTTCTGTAATTACCACTAATTATCTCCATTTCTCCAAGAAAAAAAGTCATTTGCTAATGACGTCAAGCATTGCTCCAAACGATGTACTTCCAGTTTTAGGAAAACAACACCCACTTTCCCAGCTCATCTGAATCCAAAACCAATCTTACTTAAAGATTTTTATTCACCGTGAGAACATTATTCATGTGATACTTCTTGATAACCCTAAATTCCAATTATGTCGGTTTAGACTCATTATATTAGCTGCATATTCAACTTTATAACGCCAGTTCAAGCATTGTAAATAGCAGGTACAGCAATAAAGTATAACATATAAAGAAGAGACTTACAATGCTTAATCATCTGTTCTTGAGCTAAGTTTTCTAAGCGCTGCTTTAGGGCTTTATTCTCCATGCTGAGAATAAGACTCTGCTGGTTAAGGAATTCAAGCTCAGCGGATACCTCAGAACCTTCAGCCTGGAATCAAAACAGTGATCAGATCAGCAATAATAACAACATACATCCATTCATCAGTGTATATTACTTCAAGCTTCTGCAAATACATGCCTGCAGAACTTGAACATTTCTTTCCAGTTCAGATATGTATTGAAGCTTCCTAACTCGTGAACGTTGAGCAAATTGTCTGCATTACATGGCACCTTGTCTTAGTAAACTTTAATATGTTAAATAACACTGCATAATGTCCAAATAAACAGTACGAATAGCAGATAAGCGTCTGTTGGCAAATCACATAATAAAAGAAGACATATACTTCCACACCTAAAAATCAAAATACTCCCTCTCTATCAAGTTAGATGACAGATGACCATTTGATTGGTGCAAAGATTAAGAAAAATTCTTGAGTAAGTTGCTATATTGAAATTAGCTAGATATGTATGCTAAATACAAATAGAAATGCACCAATGTGGGGTAATTTATCAAGTATAAATCACGTAATAGGAAAAGTGATATAGGTTGTCTTTGTATTGTATTGATTGTTGAAGGTAGGGAAGGTTACTTTTAGTAAAGGGGTCCAGGAAATACAAGAGGATGAAAAAAAGAACAAGGTCAAGTAAGTTGAGAAGGTGGCCAGAGAAATGTTTCTGACACATAGCTCGCGACGCCTTTGCCCCTTGATTCGGCCTCCACGCGCGTTGAATCAATCCAAAAGCAGAACGAATACGTCACAATATGCTAAGGGAACAAAGCCCAAGAGAAAACAATCAAAAAATATTAAAAATCCTGAAATTAGCAAAACCCGAGCCCCGGACCCACTTCTTTAAACTCAAAAATTTTCACATCAACGGGTTCCTTATCCTCTCACGAGTTCATACACATCAAAAGTTCAAATCCGACCCCAAATTGTCCTCCTAATCCCCAATCACAGATTCAAAATCCGAAGCCCTAGTTCTTCCATTTTTAGCTTAAGTTTCCATGAATTTATAGGTAGATTTCACAATAGAACTTAGTTTTAGGTCCGAAATCCTTTCCTCCAAATGTTTCTCATTGAATCTCTCTTTATTTTCCTTCAAAAACCTCTCAAAATGATCAACAATGGTGGAAATGAGCCCCAAAATCGCGGATGAAAAGACTTAAAACATACTGCCCAGCACTGCCCGATCCTTCATCGCGATCGCGGCACAAGCCTCGCGATTGTGAAGAGCAATTCTTCAAGACCTCAGTAGAACTCTACGCAAACGCAACAAATACCTTGTGAACACGATGCTTCCACTTCCCACACCTACGCGAACGCGAAACACACGATCCTAGCCTTCCATAAACGCGAGGCCACTAACGCGAACACAAAGGCTTAACTCTGGCCATCCAAATTCCTTCTACGCGATCGCAATATACCCCACGCGATCGCGAAGGCCTAATTCTCTGCAACTGCTGAACACTAAATCTGCAACTCTTAAACATCAAAAATGGTTCGGTTGACCATCTGAAACTCACCCGAGGCCCCCGGGACCCCAACCGAAAGCACCAACACAACCTAGAACCTCATTCAAACTTGTTCCAATCATCAAATCACCTCAAACAACATCAAATCCACCAATTCACATCGAATTCAAGCCTAAGTTTTCTAAAAACTTCCGAAATACGCTTTTGATAAAAAACCCTACAAAACCACGTCCGAATGACCTGAAATTTTATACACACAACCCAAATGACATAACGAAGATACTACAACTCTCGGAATTCAATTCTAACCCCCGGATCAAAATCTCACCTACCAACCGAAAATAGCCAAAATTTCAACTTCGCCAATTCAAGCCTAATTCTATTCCGGACCTCCAAAACACATTTCGATCACACTCCTAAGTCATAAATCACATCCCGAAGCTAGACGAACCATCAGAATCACATTCGAGCCCTCTAACACATAAGTCAACATCCGGTTGACTTTTCCAACTTAAACCTTCTTAAAAGAGACTAGGTGTCTCATTTCTTACCAATCCACTCCGAACACAAACTAATCAACTTGATCACATAAAATACGGATAACAAATCATAAAGAAGCAAAAATGGGGAAGACGTAGCAGTAACTCATAAGACGACTGGCCGGTCATCACATCCTCCCCAACTTAATCAAACGTTCGTCCTCGAATGAGTCAAGAAACATACCTGAAGCCTGAAATAGGTGAGGGTATCTGCTCTGCATCCCCCGCTCGGTCTCCTAGGTAGCCTCCTCCACGGGCCGACCTATCCACTTCACTTTCACTGAAGCTATATCCTTTGACCTTAATTTCCGAACTTGACGACCCAAAATAGCTACTGGCTCTACATCAAAGGTCAAATCATCATCCAACTGAACCGTGCTGAAGTCCAAAACATGGGACGGATCCACAATATACTTCCAGGGCATAGAAACATGAAATAGCGAATGCACACTCGACAAGATGGTTGGCAAAACAAGCTCATGAGCCACCTCCTCAATCCTCTGAATCACCTCGAAAGGCCTAATTAACCATGGACTCAACTTCCCTTTCTTTCCAAATATCATAACACCCTTCATGGGCGAAACCATCAGCAAGACCTTCTCACCAACCTTGTGTCGCGCCCTCTTTTTCTATGGCAAAATCGGGTTTATGATATTAGGGAGGACAACTCGTTCCCTTTTGGGAATTGGGTTTTGGAGTTTGATAGTCGCCACCTAATGATTAAGTGCATTAGGACACTAAGAAGGATTTGAGTTTGAAGAACCAGAGTTTGGGTAAGGGCTAGAAATTATCTCGAGGGGAAGGTGTTAGGCACCCCTCAAGATCCACTAGTGTGGTTCCCGACCATGTTATAATTGTGACTTCACATAATCAAGTAAGCAATTAAGGGCTCAAATAGGAGGGATTCACATACAACATTGCAAATAAGTTAAAACTTGAGGAAAGGTAGGACGGCAGAAAATTTATGAAAGATTTAAACAATTCTAAAAGAAATAGATGAAAGCAAGTAAAAGGGAGGGGGGTCATAGGTTTATGATTAATATGGATCACGTCAATGCAATACCCAGTAAACACTCCTCAGAAGAGGGGCTACATGAGATATTAGCGCATCGGTTATCATATCCATATCTACCATTCCCACCCTGTTAAGGTATTAAAGCGCGGAATAGTATCGGTACTTATTGCATGCTATTACCCGTCCCGATCCTATCAGTCTAGGAGGAATTGAGACTACTAGTCCTAAAGGGAAGGGAATTGGGGCTTTTCATAGTTTTAAAAGGATAAAAGTCTAGGCGACAAGTTAAAACACATAAACAGTTAGGGGGAAACAAATAGCAATTAAGGCTCACACAGGCCTCCTCACTTAAAAGAGCAAATATAGTATGACTTCAAAGACTGGTTGTGGTCTGAATTAAATTAAAGCGTAGGATAGGCTGATTTATCATACATTTCTCAAATGAGGAGTCCGAATTAGCCTTGTCTGGATGTAGTTATCAAAAACTGACACAGTTAACTAATTACCTAATAGTTTGCCTAAGTGAGACCTATAGGCATGACATCTAACAAAGCGTATTGATTTTAAGGAAAAAAGTTGCTTGTCATATAAACAAAAGATCTACAGACTTTAAACGACCCTATGATTGATTTTTAGATCCATAGATGAAATAAACGAAGCTGATTCAATTGATTACTCCTATAGGCATGATTTCTAAGCGTCATTGGTTTTAAACGATTACATAAATGCAAGAGTCCTATAGGCATGGTATCTAGAATGAAGTTGATTATTTATTAAACCTATGATTGTTTGCCTAACGGCGTGTATATGCAGAAGTGCAGAAACCTAAGATCATGATTTCTATAAGCAGAACTTATAGGCATAATTTCTAAAATGCAAAAGTCCAAAACTTATAGACATAATTTCTAAATTGCAAAAGTGCAGAACTTATAGACGTAATTTGAAAAATGTAGAAGTGCAGAAAACATATAGGCATGAGTTCTAAAATGCAGAATGCAGAAATTATAAATAACCTATAGGCAAGTTTTCTACCCTTTGCATGCATTCATCCCCATCCCTTCCCACTAGCCATCCCGAATAGTTATCATAAATTATTACAGACCCAAATGAATCAGAAAAGTAAAATTCAATCAGAAGTTCCAGCTACATCCAAACAGCCTAATTCAGACTCAAAGTCCAACAATATGAGATAAATTAACTTCTAGGATCAGATTTCGAAAAGCCTTTCTCACATTTGGGATGTGTCAAAGTTCCCAAGAGTCTCAAGGGCTCCGGGCAATGGTTATTGATGATAGTCTGTAATTACGTATTTTAATCGCTTACTACACTCTAATTTACTGCACTTTAATTGAGTTTGAGCTTTAAACGCTAGTGTCTTGCGCTAATTGTGTGTTTTATGCCTTGTAAGTGTAATTCCGAGCTATGCAGATGTTATGGAACGAATTTAAGTGATTTGGAGCTTTAATGTCTAAGTAAAAGCTCAAGGTATTAAGCCGAGAACGTGTTTGGGGGTCAACGAATGATAGTTAGAGCGAACGAACAATCGGGTAGGCATATCACGCACTATCTAGTAAAATGGATATAACTTTTTTCTCAGAATGCCATTTGGGCTGCACAATATATGGTTGGAAAGCTAACTCAAAGGGCCACAAAATTCATGTTTACGGTTTTCCAAATTCCAAACGGAAGAGGGTAAAAAATGAGCCTGAAACAGCAACTGCGGACCTGATGCGGACGGGGACAGAATATAACCCAACTAGCGCGGCCTTACCGCTGGCTTAGCGCGGCCGCGCTAGTCCAGACGGAAAAACAGATATGAAGGGTACTTTTGTGAGTTCAAGACCAATCCCCTCAACCTATAAAAGGTTTAGTTCGTCCAAAGGAGCAAAAAATAAGTTTATAGGGTTTAGAACAAGGAAAAAAACAAGACACACAATGGAGCAAGGCGGGGAATTCTTCTACGAGTTTTTCTTTCCTCTTTCCATTTTTTTATTATTGGTTATGACTTTTAGTATTGTA